ATTGAGCTGTGTATTACCCTTTTTAAAAAAATGTATTCAGTACAGTGTCTACAGCCATTAATATCTCAATCAGCATCTCAACGCACCCCGGGGGCGGGGCCGGCACAGCAGGCTGGGGATGGAACCCCAGTCCCTGCACGTGCTGAACAGGCGCTTTAACCCACTGAGCTATCTGGTCAGCTCTGTGTATTACACATTATACGATGTGGAAGTTAGCTGCCAATATGTTAAGTTCCAGTGCCAGTTTGAGTCTAACACTATTTCTCTGTAGTCAAGTGCAGATCTGACACAATTGAGCTAATCCATATAGAAACTGTAACTGAAATTTCATCATTAAGGCAAATAGTATCCTTTCCTGGTTATGATTTACCATTGATTAGGATGGGAATTAAAAGTGTTTTCAAATAAATGATGGGCTCATGGTTTCTATACTGAACCTAGCCTGGTCCTGCTCAATGACAACAGAAGACAATGGTGTAAACTTGGATTTCTATATGTCTGTGCTGTATGGTCAGGTATTCTGAACTGCATGTTAAGTACAAGTGTCTACGTAGAGCGCAAAGGAAGAAACTGCGATGACAGTCCTTGGGCCGCAGCTATGTCACGGCCCAATCAGAGCTATGTCACGGCACATGATACAGTGTTTTCACCAGAGCCCAGCCAGCTATATCCTTGTTCACATTTAGTCTTAATACAATAATTCTATTAGTACAGATGTTTAAATATGTCTTAAGATTTTTTTCCCACTAAGAAATTTGTAAAACAAGCTGGAATGAAGTTTTTATTTTTTTAAAATCAAATTCAGTGTGCTTTTAAACAAGTGATAAAATGTACGCATGTCAATATACAAATATGTACATGCACTTAAAAAATTATGTAATTCTAAATTTCATCTATTCTTCCCTTGACCTTCTGAAAGTATACAGACAACGTTTTATGAAATGCAATATAAATTAGAGCACAAACTCCTAATGGAACTTTGCAAGTGCTACAATAAACTACAAAGCACACATAAGGGGTATGTGTGTGTGTGTGTGTGTGCATGTGTACTACAGGTGTAAGCTGCTCAACCTGGAGCAGGGAGCACACAATAACCTGCACTTGTAAAGGAACTGCTATGAGTAGAACTCAGCAGAGGCAAGAATGCATCACATATCTGTAATAATCATTAACGTCTCTTTGGTAGTCAAAGAGCTTCTGTAACAAATGTTCCCCAATAAATGACTTTTTTTCACTTTAGCTGTGGTGGAATTGCAGTGAGGTTAAATGTGTAATTATAGTGTTACAACACACTGGAAATACCATTTGAACCAACATGGAAAAATAAACTTCAGAGTAGATAACAAATGTTTCATACTAAAGACGGTACAAAATCATGGACTTTATTATACATTAAAAAAATCTTCTAACAAGAATTTCCTGAAGCCTTGTCAGCAAATATTTTCACAAAATGAAAAAAATAAATTCTCTGCCCCACATGTATACCATGATCACATGAAATGAGTTCTTCAAATCCAATTCCAAAGGGAAACATTGCTTGACCTTTAACTGCACACTGCATAATAGCATCAGTAAAATATTAACCGATTCACTTACATTACAGTATCACCCAATATACAAAGTGATTTTGCACATTATAGTTTAATCCCCAGTAGTAACTGAAGTGAATTACTTATGAGAACAATCACAAGAGATTGCTTAAGAACTGTAACATGGTTCTAGTGCTGTTAACTAATGAAGAATAAACTCTCATGAGCTAACCAAACTTGCTAAAACAAAGAGCTTGCTATAATTGGTATGTTTAAATATTTAAAGTACAATCCAAATGCTAGGAGGCTGTTATCAAAACAAACATTAATATTTTCACTTATTTTTTTTTAATATTTTCATTTTATTCAGGTAGCAGGAGGTTTTACAATATGCTCTTAGGGTCTGTTAGCATTATAGTAAGACTCAAGTTTTAAATACTATGGCTCGTGATCAAAATTGACTCAGATGCCTTTACCATACAAGACTGTGTTATCGCACATTCTACTGTCCTTTTCCAAGAAAAATAAAAACAATTTTATCCCTTCTCAGTCGTAAAACCTAAGAATTCTTCTAAAATTAAACATAATTACTGTTCTATAGTTATGCTTTAGTCCCCAATAAGTTTTTAAAATTCTAAAAAGATGCACGAATAACTGATTTCCTATCTACTGTTACCAGTTACAAATGTACTGTTCATATATGTAGCAGAATGCACAGTACAATTAGGTGGGCTTAATTTCTGCTCTTAAAAAAAAAGAACAGTTTTGTTGATCTCCAAAAATCAGCAAGTGCAATACAATCAGTATCTAAGTATCCCAGAGCTAGAAGGGCTTTCACAAGAGGATGTAACAGTACGAGATCAGCTTTAACAATAAGAAAGCCATAAGCAACCTTCTATCAACAAAAGGGAGAGCTTCTTAAAGTTGATGCTTACAAATCTGCAGTAATGGAATACAGTTTAATAGGACTAGAACAGAAACTGAGTCCACTCATACTTCTATTTGGCATTGGAATGCATTTTGGTTTGACCCAAAAATATGGATGTATGAGAATTTCTACAAAATGTGACTTAAAAGGACTTACAAGTCTGTCTAGCATCCCCCGTCTGCAACAACTCTGAACTCCAGCCAATACTTTGACCCAGGATGCTAACCAAGGACACCAAAACTGTTACCATGCAAGGAACCAGCCAAGTAAGACACCCCTTAACGATGAGCCACCTTCCTTGGGGACCAACAGATTTCCTCTGAACTAAGTGAGGTGCCAACTTACATAAGGAAACAACTTAATGGACCAAACAGAAGCACCACCAATCTGAAAAAAAGTCTTCAAAGCAGGACTTGCTGTGCCTAATCAAGGGCTGACCACAAGAGAAATTTTAACTTCAACACAAAGGAATAATACACTATAGAGAAAGCATCCCTTTAGTATGCACAAAATAAACTTTAATTGAGTATTCCACAAATTTCTACATGTGTATTATATGTTTTGGTAACATAAGGCTTGGAAGAATATTAAATAATCATTATGGCCATTTGGCACACAGATAAAAAGAATATACGATCCTATATATAATTATCCCATTCCTACAGAAAGTAATGTACATACAAAGTGTGAAAACAGCTGAGTCATATTTTAGGAACGAAGATGCCATTTCCAATTCAGACATAGAACTACCTATCAAAAAACATAAACATTTTCCCTTATAAAATCAGACTTATGAATTGTAAATGTTTAGTTCTGTAAAATATTTTACTCAATTATTTCAAGTGGAAACTTTCTCATGTGGAAACATGAGCATAACTTCTATCAGCCATGTTTAAAATCTGAGTAAAGAAAAAAGAAATCAGTATAGATACAGAAGCGGTATAGAAATGTCACTTTAACCTTAGCGCCAGGCTAAAAATCTTTCTTCGGTCAACTTCTAAACTATACTAGGCATTCAATTCCCTTTTTTTTTTTTTTTTTTTGGCAGAACCAGGGATTGAACTCAGGCCCTTGCACTTGCCAGGGAAGCGCTTATTCCACTGAGCCATCTCCCCAGCCCCCTCAATTCCTTTTCAATCTTTCATGGAATTAGACCTTTTACTTATTTGTAAAGTACAAGTATTTACAATAATTAGTGCAAATTATTTTATGCTCATAAACTAGTTATTTGCCTTTGTGGATATAAAGTGATAATGTAGTACTTTATCAAAACATAGGATTATGAAAATACTGGGAAGTCTAAAATTTAAAAGATTATATTTTTTAAACTAAACTCTGAGAATTTTACTTTAAGCAGTAACATAACTGTTAATAGAATTTCTTTTGAAATATTATTTGGTTATCAATAAAATTTCATACAATGCAGAAAATACACTGTATTATCCTGTAACATCTTTACACATCATCTAAAATGTACTTGCATAACAAAAAATCATTTTAATGAATTTCAAAATCTTCTTTTAACCCATTACTGCTCTGTAGCAATAACTGAAGTCCCAACCTGAGAACTAAGAATATGGTAATATAATGCCAAGCCCTGTATCAATCTTGAATTGAAGACACTTAAGCTTATTTCCTCTGGCATCAGATACAGTACGGCAGAGAAATGTAAGCAATCCAACAAAGTGCGTAGGAATCTATAGCGCCACCTGCCACAACTAGAAACCTTGAATCTAAAGTCTGTCCTAATGGCTTTATACAAATCCTATTGCACATTTCATATTGTTGAAGTATTTGCAAACCTGTAGAATTCTCTGTAGAAGGAGTTTTAAACTTGTTCAATTGAAAGCTTCCTCACTACAAGCAAAATATTCCTAATGGAAGGGAGGGTACACACCCGTGAATATCTGAATCCGCAGAATAAATGTTTTCTTATAGGGTTGGCCAATTACAATACAAAAGAAAACATTGGCAATTTAAGGAAAAAATGTTTCAGCAAAGCTATATGCCTTAGCAATGTAGTCAGGGAAATAAGCAGTTATGTGACATTTAACGTTAATGTATGTTACATTATTTTTAAGGAAAAAAAGAATGTAAGCCTAAGTCATAAAATTCAATCTTATTTTTTCCAATCAACCTTATTTTTTAATGAAGCTAAAACAAGCAAATACACACTGTGTTATTTCAACATAGTTGTTACCTTGTGCCATTTCACCAAAGAAAAGGGAGGGGGCGCAATCAAAAAACCAAAGAAAAGTTTATGCTTCTGACTCTCTCTTCTTTCCTTCTTCTCCTAAGTCGCTCTCTTCTGACTGGCTACTGCTAAGGACAACAAACTGCCCTTCACTGCTGGCTTGGTTTGGTCTACTGGAAGCGGCTATCAACCGGCTTTGTTCTTCCAAGTCCTAGTACAAAGACAAGAGAAACAAAGTTACATTTTGTGTAGCCTAATGGAAACAGCACAGCTGAATGACATACTTGAGAGCCACTTCAATCCTTCTGTCAGAAATGTGTACATGTACTTTTGGTAACTGGATGATTTTTTTAAAAGGCTCTACCCAACCAATGTAACTCTGAAGTATATTTTGGTACCATTCTAGAAAGCCTATAAGAGCCAATGTCCAAACTAAAATCTTGGCTATTTTCTTCCTTTTCTTTGTATGGCCTACAACTAAATTCAGGCTCTCTTCACCTCTCACTATACACAACGTAAGAAATCTCTTATCTCAGTAAAAACCTCGTAACAGATCACGTCACCCATCATTAGGACCTCCTCTCTGGACCACTTCTCCATCCTTGTCCAACTCACCTTGCTAAAGCAGGCGTCACCTTCTCAATCAAGACTCCTGAGAAAGTCTGACTTTAATGTCATCTTCGCCATTTCCTCCTTCTCTGTCCACATAACTCACCCACTTGCAACTCTGACCGATCAGTTCTCACCAGGTATCCATCGCTTCTGTTCTATGCCTATTGTCAACACTACAACCTGTAACAGGTTTTTACAATCTTGTAGATCACTCGATCAAGATTTGCCCTGAAAATTGTGTAGTTATCTTATGCTTTTGTGGGTTTGTTCTCAAGCACTAAGAAGCATCCTTTCAGAATGTACACTGAGTAGACGTTCCTGGCAACATTATAAACAAACATAGTATTCCGCTTAGAGAGCAATCTGGCTTTCAGCAATGGCAATTCCATCTATAAAGCCTCTCGCGAGAACTGCTCCGACGGAGACAACCTCCTGGAATATGGGAGCTCTGCTCTGTCCGCCTAGCAGCAAGTCGCCCTGTGCACTAGGGATCAGTGTAACTGCTGGCTTCAGATGTCACCCTTTCCTGCTGGGCTACGAATCACCTGGCCATGGAGTAGGTGAGCGAGGAGATACAGATCTTCCTTTGGAAGCTCAAATGTGAAAGGCAGAGTACTATATTTAAGTCTTCGCTAACACTGCACAAAGAGAAAATCAAGATATTAGGACTGCATACCTTTTCAATCTGTCTTTGTTTACTGAGTTCTTTCTGTTGCTTCTCTTTTACTCTTTCTATTTCTTTTTGTTTTTCAGATGCCCTACGATCCTAAAGACAGATGAATAAAACTAATGAATTAAATACAAAATAACTAAGTGTTCGACATCTGTTAGTATGACCTTTGTACCTTTTCAATCTTTTTAAAAATATTTACACAGAAAAAAAGCATACCAATGATTTTTACAGTATCACAGACTATATCCAGATTCTAAACATTATCTCAGCAATGGGATGTACTGTTAACCTTGTAGTCATTTTATTTACTTAATATTAAAAGTCTTAATCACACTACCCAGATTGAGATTCTTGGAAAGTTAAGCATCTCTTGGACTCTTACCAGTTCAGCATGCAAAGCTATCTGTTTTGCCAGGCCGACAGAATCACAAATCTAAAAAGTGAAAAAAGTATGAAAATTTGAGTTCTCACATAAAAGCAAAAATTTTAAGTATCTAAGTGACTAATGTAAGTAATGCCTCTTTGTAACTCAAAGCGGATTTAGGGACTCTTTAGCCCAAAACCAACACTTTCTCATGAGTCTTGAGGGCACAGCTGAGTCACACTATGCAAAATTCAAGAGCTTTTTCCAAACAATCAGTAACAACTGTGACTGTGATACGCATTTCATACCAGAAACATTTGAAAGACACACCTTCTCCCCTTCATTGTTAGACTCAAATATGTAGCAGACCGATGCCAGGCTGCTCTCGCTTCTCCCTCCCGATGTCCGCAGAACAAATCCAAAAAGCCTCTTATTTTCCTGGTGTGTAGCATACAAAACTACATAGGGCAAAGGAAACTGCCACAGAAAACATCAGAATGAATGAGATCCTTTAAATCATTATAGCAGCACACATTCATTACAAACTCATGTTGAATTCTATAAAAATATAAACAATTTAACAATCAAATTTTCTTAAACTAGTAATCTAAGAACAAATACCATGTTTTGGTTTGGATTACCAAGGAAAATAGAATAGTATTTTATTAGTAACACATTTTACAAAATCAAATTCAGTAAATTACTTAGCTAAATGATGAAATACACACTTGTAGTAATTTTAAAATAGGTAACTACAAAATAATCATGTGCACATCTTACTTCCTACTGCTAACTTCTCTGATCAAGCTCCCCAACTAAGGGGTGAGTCCTGAGCATCACACCAGATCATACTGATTCATTTCGATTATAACTTGTTAGTGATGGGCCAGACACTTGACTGTAACAGCCTGAATGGCCAGGGTCAGGAGTATTACCCAATAGAATATGCGTATGCACACAAAGGCACTTAAAGCTTTATTTAATCATGTTGAACTCACCGTAAGCCTTGTGACTTGTGTCTGTGGATCAATTAACCTACAAAAATAATTTAAAATTTGGAAAACAAATGTTAAGTAAGCTGTAATTATGTAAATATTTTTCCTGCAAGCTTTTTTAGGAAGAGATTACTTACTTTAAACAGTCACAAGTAACTAATAAATGTGACTCTGTCATACGAAAGATGTTGTGGATGGCCCGGGCAGCTAAGATTTGGCGCATTGTTTCATAAACAACATCTGGATGGTCATCTGATTTCACCTCCATAGAACCAAGGAATCGGACAATAAATAACTGATGAAGAATAGAATCTATAATAGAATAAGGTAATTATGTATTTATAAACACATTTCTTTTAAAAAAAATTTTTTTATTTATTTATTTGTGTTTGTGTGTGTGTGTGGCCAGCTCAGCCCACCAGGGGGCGGGGCTGGCTGGCATGTGGTGCTGGGGGATTGAACGGCACTCCCTGTGCTTTGCTAAGCTTGTTCTAAGTAGGTGCTTTAGACCACTGAACCATCTCACCAGCCCTATAAACACATTTCTTCACCAAAAGAACACAATATATTGCCTTTTAGATTTTCTATAACCACTACAAAAACAATATGCAATGTATTCATTATTGTAACTGTCCCACTAACCTGTTCAGAAACTGTCTCAATGCTATTTCTTTCTCAGTAAAATTAATATTAAAAAAAATCCCATTAAAAATGGAAAAATAGGGGATGGGGAGATGGCTCAGTAGAATAAGCGCTTGCCTGGCAAGTGCAAGGATCTGAGTTCAATCCCTGGTTCCCCCCCCCCAAAAAAAAGGAAAAATAAGATTTTCCGTGAAAAATTCAACTTGAAGATAACTATAACCACAGTGTTCAAGTTACAGGAAAATTAGTATTTCAGATTTGATTAGCAAAAGATTAGGGCAATGTTCAGCAATGTGATTCTGGGTAGAAAGAATTCCTTG